ATGTGCTGAAACTGTCAAAGAGTTATCTGCGGTCCATCAAGCAATTCTTCAACCGAGTCTAGTTCGTCCAGATTGTCGACAACCGGTTAAATTACACGGTGATTGCGAGGTTGTTCTGTTTTATCTTGGCGAGATTCTGCCGGAGATTGAAGATCTTGGCTAGCTCAAGTTTCCCATACATTTCTTTGATATTGTTCCAAATTTCTTCAGCAATCTCAGTCGGTGGAAGTTCGGCGATTACATCCGGCGAAAGACAGTTGTTAATCCAAGACCGGACTAGGATATTGCAGCATTTCTAGTGTTTGTACAGTTGCGGTTCGGTCTGCGAAGGAACCATTCCGTCAAGAAAGCCGTCTCTTTCTTTTGCTATTAGTGCTTAACGAAAATCGCGAGCCCAAGTCGCGTAATTTTCTAAACTGGTGAGAGGCTGCTTGACCAGGATGAGTTCTGGTCTGTCCGAGGCTGATGTGTAGAGCATACCACCTAGTTCTGGTTTGCCACCGGCCAGTGGAATTAGCTTAATTGCAATGGGTAAGGATTGGAACTGGCTTGACCTCAGTTCAAACCCTGAAAACTGAATGGGAAAAATTCTGACCCGGATTTGGAATTGAGCCAGATCCATTACCTTGCTTCAACACAATTTGCCCTTGATGGGCTGTATCTTGAGGATACTGATTTGGTTTGATTGATCAAGCCCATCTGAAGAAGTTTCGGTTCTGGTATTCCTGTCAAATTGATCGATTCTAAAAGATGAATTCAATCTAAAATAAATAAATAAATAAAAACTAACTCTTCCACCCGAGTACCAATGTGGTTCTGCAGGAACTTAGCAAAACTTTAGGCAAGAGTCGATGGATTAGCGGAATAACTCAATCACCCAAGATAACAATAAATGCTAAAAATAATTTAGTATACACCAGAAAAATTCTCAAGAAACCTTGGAGGGTTCACAAACAGTCTCACTTAAAACCCAACTTCCTTAGACATTTATCGTCTTATTGATAGAATTTTCATAGACATACATATCATCGTATAAATAACTAATCACTTTACTAAACTTAGGCTAGAAAAAGTTGGAAGAGCTTGGAGACAAGTGGAAGCTTGGTCAGAACGAATGCTCTGATACCACGAAGAAAATAGAGGCAAAAGAGAGACAACAAAGATGTCAAAGTATGTCAAGAGAAAGTGTTTTGTATATTGAATGAATTTCTTTATATTTACAGTACCTATCTATAGAAAATTGTACTAGCTGCGTATGGTAATATAATACTACAAATGATGATACAATCTTAATAATAAAGCAATGGAAATCATATCTTAGCATAATTAGGAATGAGAATAGTTCACATATTCTTATTATATGTCTAAATGATATGTGAATTAATGTTACATATTTTTTTCTCATATTCGTATGTTAACAATATTCTCTCTTTTACTTCATTAATTATTTAATATCTCTAAAACTAAACAACTAATTAAAAGTTAGAAAGATATTAAATAACAAATAGTTAGTAATATATATCTCTTTGATGACATAAAGTAATTAAAACATCACTTACAATGCATATATATTAATATCTTATGGAAAAGACAGGTCAGAGAATGTTGATGGCATGGTTGATTGTTCCACCAGGGGGTGAAAGCTTTTCTAGTTCATCAGAAGTATCGAACAAGATGAAACCTCTTGATGATCTTCGGACGGGAGCAAGACCTCAAGAACTTTCTTTTGTTTCAGACCCTGTTGCTGTTGGAATAATAAGGACAAGTTGATTGATGGATTAGTATGCAGCTTGAAGAAATCAGGTTTTTCTTTAAAGGATCCACATTTGAATTCAGAAGGCCTTAAGCCAATATATTAGCAGCTAGTTGCCATTGTTGAAATATATTGTCTTCTCTATTTGGCTTCATAAAAGAAAAATGTACTAAAAGAGACCTGAAAGTTATCAGAAAGTAAACATCGGATTAATTATATCAATCTTTTCATATGTGGATTCTTAAGACTTGGTCAAAGAAATTTCTGTTCATAAGCATGCGAGAAATTGGATGATTGGGACTCAAAAGCATGAACAATCGTGCAATATTATTGTAATTTACACATCATTCTCACACACAAGAAAGTTGTGTCTCTTATAATTTTTTTCTTTTTGTTAAATTATCTTAACAAAAAATTAAACATAGTTCAAGAAAAAGATAAAAAACTTCCAAATAATGAATCAAAACCCCAACAGTTGTTGTTTTGATTTACAAATAGGCTAATCTCCTCTCTCACCTCTCAATCTCCTGTTAAATAATAGCTAAGGACATCTATTTATAATGCTGGGTTTTAGGAGTGTATTTACAACAATCCTATTTAGATTAACTTTTAAACCTGAAAAAATTCGTAATTACAAAATCCATATTTTTTAGGAAAATGTCATCATGCCGCGGCGTGAGTTAACTGTGTCACGACACGCCCACAATCTTCAATTCTCTATTGTTGTGTTGCAGCTGCGCACAATCTTCATTTTTATTTGTGTTATGTCGCGGCATGGGTAGACTTTGGCCACAGCACACAGAGAGCTTTTTTTCTAGCATGAAACTTTCTGAATTTGATGAAGCCTTCAACATAAAATTGGAATCTTTTCGTTAAAATCTAATGCTTCAAGAATCATCACCAAACAGTTCTATAGCGGTAGTTTCATTAAAATCAAAGCATGTTCAATACTTAAAACAATTTTTCCAGCTAATCTTCAAAAATCATAACTTCCTCATTTTAACTCCGATCTCGAACAACTTTTTCCGTTGTTACAAATTCTATTACCAACTAATTCTTCATCCAAATATTATTTTTAAACATTTGTGACTTGAAAACACACAAACATACTTGTGATCTCATAAAATATTTATAATAATTAAACTAAATTGCACACTTAACCTAATTTTTCATAAATAATACTAATAAACCACTAAGTAAAAGGGCATTTTCAAGCACTTATCATCAATCGGAAATGGAGTGTTGGTGGAAGATGTACTAGTAGGGAAACTGATTCTAGATTGCTTGGCAAAAGACAAATGGGACATTGAGTGCCGGTATCGAACACTATGACCCAAAAGTTGATAAGAAATAAAAGAGTTTTTACTAAAATTTGTATTACAATAAGATTTTTTATTGAAGTAATCAATGAGAAACTCTTTGAGGCTTGTAGAGGAGTCAATAGATTCCCAGTAATATAATCCCATGAATCAGGATGGGCTTTACTCAGCCATAGCTTGTCAATTGAAGGTCTTGAAAGGTCCATAAATGAGAGAGGAATTGTAAGGTGCTTGATTATCGGTGCAAAGTTTCGAGACAGAATTAGATTAAAACTAAATCAGGACCAAAAGGACATTGTTAAGGATTAGCTCATTTGTGAGTTGACTGTTCCTATTTGAGTGGCAGGGGCGATATTTTCATTAGGCATCCAATTGATGTGTGTGTAATGGGTGGATGTATATGCTTTAGACAAATATTTTTTTCGTAAATAATATGATCACTGGCTCCCAAGTAATTATCAAAACATTAGTTGAACCAGAGTTCATCAGACAGAAGGAAGGATGTACCTACGTAGTGGTTGCACTATTGTAGAAAGCTGATTCAGCATTTGGACAAGCTAATTTACTGTTCATTGGGGTAGGACATTGCTCGGAGTGTATTTGAGATTACATGATTGATTATAGAATTTCTAGTTTTGTTTGAGTCGCAGGACACCCATGTAATTTCTAGTAATTGTCCTGAGTGTGATTCTGCCATTTGCAATAATTACAGTATAGCTTTCCTTTCCTTGATTTTGAATTGTTGCCTTGTGACCAGTTGACTTGCTGACTTGTTGTTATTTGTTAAATGTTTAAAAGTGGGAAATAATTGAACGGACAGATCTCGTCCGCTTGTTGTACCATATAAAATGGTAGCCTTCTCATTTTCAAAAAACCTGGCCACCCTTCTCCGTTTTTGTCTGAACGTCGGAGCTTCCTCGACTAGTGCACGATTCAATGAACACCACAAAATCACCCATCCGACAATGGTCTTGAATCCCCTGTTGGCTTTCTTCTTGCACAGCAAGTTGGAAGAGTCGGTAGAGAGTTGGTGGCGGTGCTGTTACAGCATTTTTGTTTGGAATGCCAGAAAATTTACGTTCAACCCCATCAAAATCTGTGATCCGTTCATAATCTTTGATGTGCTGAAACTGTCCCTGCTTCAGATTCTAAGCCTGGTCCAATACCAAGGGCAGTTATGAGACAGATTAGTCAGATTTTAAACTCATATCCTAGAGGAATCTCAATGACAGAACTTCGGGCAGAATTGAATAAGGGTTATGCGGGTTTAGACAGAGACCTATATGGATATAAGAAGTTCTCCCGCTTTCTTTTGGCGATGCCACATATTTTAAAGCTTCTACCTGGAAGTGATGGCCAGTTTTTCGTTCGGGCAATCACTCCAAAAGCTCCTGAACTGTTTGAGTCCAGTCTGGGTACATCTAATGGACATGTTGGTAGAAATGGATATCAGGACCTCTCAAAGCCTTTGAAGTTGAATGGTGAAGAAAGCCATAAAGATGAAGCTGTCGATGGAAAGTCAATTTTGCCTTCATCACCTGAAGTAAATGCGGAAGACCCTTCAAGAAAGATTCAACAGGCCCCTGAATTAAGCGAGAAGGTTGTCCGCATGGAAATGAAGGAGCCTCTTAAAAAAAAGCCACAGCCCACTCCAACTGAGGAGAAGGTTTCTATGCCAGCTGGTGTACAGGAAACTGAGGGAAATCTGTCTCCTGTGGAGGAACAAGATTCCTCATCTGAAGTGGGATTCTTCAGGAAAAATTGGTGCAGATGGTTTGGTGGTAAAGATGGGGTTTCTGAAATTAAAAGTCAGAACATTCCTGAAAAATGTAGTGATTCCGGAGATATCTCTGAGAGGACAAGTCACAACTACCCTGAAAAATCTTGTATTAGTAGTGATAACTTTGAGAAGATAAAAGTTAACGAGAAGAGCATGAGATCTCCAAGTCAGGATGCTTATCCAGTTGGATCCTCTGAAGAGAATAAATTTGCTAGAAGCACTGAGCCTTCTGTTGACAATTATACCCCACGTCCAGGTGTTCTAAAACGAATAATAAACTGGTGTAAATTTCAGAGTAGCGACCAAGACACTGATACATTGGTTGATCCATCCAGTATAAGACAGATCGAGATACACAGTAACTCTCAAAGGCATGAGGTTTTTATGAAGGATTCTTTCTGGTTTGACATGGAATCCTTCATGGATTCACCTAGAGGATTGGTCATTGTCGCACAGTCTAGGACCAGGTACATGCATTTGCCTAGTGTTCTTTCCTTTCTTTGACACTATAGTATATTTAGCTGTCACAATACAGATAAAGTAAGCAGTACCCATTGCATGTAATAGTTGTCTTTCTATAAAACAAATCTTAAAAACTTTTTGGCCAATAATTTGTTAAGTCATAAAATTGCTAGATTTAGATCGTATTAATGAGTGTAAATTCCGGAAACAAGATTTAGATTGTACTTTGTGACTGAGGAAATGGAGGCATCCATTCATCGTATGTTTTGTTTTCTCTTTTATAATTTTTGCTACTATCATAGTTGTGGCACATGACAATTTTAGTTATAAAGGAATCTAATAATTTTAAGGTAACAATTTTTAAAATGATAACTATGATTTCAGAGTTTTAGCAGTTGCAATCAAAATTATATATTTATATTTTCTTATATTGTTTGTGGTTTGTTTCAGGGAACAGTTGGCCCAATGTCTGCGAAAGGAAGGCCCTTTAGCTCTTAGAGATCTCAGCGACAGTGATATTCTTAACCTGGTAGATATGTTGATATCAGAGAAGAAATGGGTGGAAGAAAGCCCATCTGAAATATCACCTTTCAAACTTATTCGGCCAGTTGTAAAGAGGTCTTCTTTGGGTCATTCTTGTCCTGCAAATGGATTGAGATCAATCTTTTCAAGTACGCAGTCACAATCCAACCCACCAAATGTATCGGAGCTTAATGGAGAGAAAAAGATTCAAAATTTTTGTCATGCTGGAATTTCCCCACCTATCAATAATAAGAAAACTTTGGACAGATCTAGAAATGACATATTAGCCGACTGTCAGAACCTTGTGAACGATATATTGAAGGAGTACCCAGAAGGATATAATATGGGATCCTTCAGGAAATTGTTCCTTGAGCGGTATGGCTATCATCTTGATTTAAAAAAACTCGGTTACCAAAAGTTGGCATCCCTGATACAGATAATGCCTGGGGTGAAAATTGAGTCAAGTCATATCTTACCTTCCAGACAAGTAGTTGGTCGCTCTGATCAGGAATTCTTTTTTGATAACATTCAAAAAGATAATGCCTATCATCCAGTAACTAGCCCAGATAGTGAATCATCTGAGACATCAAAGAAGAATGATGATTCTGACTCTCCATGGGAGGAGCTAGGCCCTATTTCTAACTTGAGTTTTGATAGAAAGGACGGGCAATCAATGCCAAGGAATTCAGCGATGGAGGAAACAGAGAGATGATATCCTGATTATGAACCTTCTGTCTCGTATGATGAAATTTCAGATTCAGAAGTCTCAACTGGAACACTTCTGGAAGGGCGAGGAAAGCCGGTAATAAAGGAGAAAGATAGCTCGTTATTGCAACTCCTGGATTCATGGTACAGCAGTAATGAAAAAAAGAAAAAGACAGGTCAGAGAATGTTGATGGCATGGTTGATTGTTCCACCAGGGGTGTAAAGCTTTTCTAGTTCATCAGAAGTATCGAACAAGAGTGAAACCTCTTTGATGATCTTCGGACGGGAGCAAAGACCTCAAAGGAACTATTCTTTTGTTTCAGACCCTGTTGACTGTTGAGAATAATAAGGACAAGTTGATTGATGGATTAGTATGCAGCTTGAAGAAATCAGGTTTTTCTTTAAAGGATCCACATTTGAATTCAGAAGGCCTTAAGCCAATATATTAGCTAGCTAGTTGCCATTTGTTGAAATATATTGTCTTCTCTATTTGGCTTCATAATGAGAAAAATGGTACTAAAAGAGAATCCTGAAAGTTATCAGAAAGTAAACATCGGATTAATTATATCAATCTTTTCATATGTGGATTCTTAAGACTTGGTCAAAGAAATTTCTGTTCATTAAGCATGCGAGAAATTGGATTGATTGGGACTCAAAAGCAATGAACAAATCGTGCAATATTATTGTAATTTACACATCATTCTCAACACAAAGAAAGTTGTGTCTTCTTATAATTTTTTCTTTTTGTTATAAGTATCTTAACAAAAAAATTAAACATAGGTTCAAGAAAAAGATAAAGAAAACTTCCCTAAATAATGAATCAAAACCCCAACAGTTGTTGTTTTGATTTACAAATAGGCTAATCTCCTCTCTCACCTCTCAATCTCCTCTTAAATAATAGCTAAGGACATCTATTTATAATGCTAGGGTTTTAGGAGTGTATTTACAACAATCCTATTTAGATTAAAACTTTTAAACCTGAAAAAATTCGTAATTACAAAAATCCATATTTTTTAGGAAAATGTCATCATGCCGCGGCGTGAGTTAACTGTGTCACGACACGCCCACAATCTTCAATTCTATCTATTGTTGTGTTGCAGCATGCGCACAATCTTCAATTTTATTTGTTGTTATGTCGCGGCATGGGTAGACTTGTGCCACAGCACACAGAGATGCTTTTTTTCTAGCATGAAACTTTCTGAATTTGATGAAGCCTTCAACATAAAAATTGGAGATCTTTTCGTTAGAAATCTAATGCTTCAAGAATCATCACCAAACAAGGTCTATAGCTGTAGATTTCATTAAAGTATCAAAGCATGTTCAATACTTAAAACAATTTTTCCAGCTAATCTTCAAAAAGTCATAACTTCCTCATTTTAACTCCGAATCTCGAACAACTTGTTTCCAGTTGTTACAAATTCTATTACCAACATAATTCTTCATCCAAATATTATTTTTAAACATTTGTGACTTGAAAACACACAAAACATACTTGTGATCTCATAAAAGATATTTATAAAATAATTAAACTAAATTGCACAACTTAAACCTAATTTTTCATAAATAATACTAATAAACCACTAAGTAAAAGGGCATTTTCAAGCACTTATCATCAATCGGAAAATGGAGTGTTGGTGGAAGATGTACTAGTAGGGAAACTGATTCTAGATTGCTTGGCAAGAAGACAAATGGGACATTGAGGTGCCGGTATCGAAACACTATGACCCAAAAGTTGATAAGAAATAAAAGAGTTTTTACTAAAATTTGTATTACAATAAGATTTTTTATTGAAAGTAATACAATGAGAAAACTCTTTGAGGCTTGTAGAGGAGTCAATAGATTCCCAGTAATATAATCCATGAATCATGATGGGCTTTACTCAAGGCCATAGCTTGTCAATTGAAGGTCTTGAAAGGTACATAAATGAGAGAGGAATTGTAAGGTGCATTGATTATCTGTGCAAAGTTTCGAGACAGAAATTAGATTAAAACTAAATTCAGGGACCAAAAGGACATTGTTAAGGATTAGCTCATTTGTGAGTTGACTGTTCCTATTTGAGTGGCAGGGGCGATATTTTCATTAGGCATGCAAATTGATGTGTGTGAATGGGTGGATGTATATGCTTTAGACAAATATTTTTTATCGTAAATAATATGATCACTGGCTCCCAAGTAATTATCAAAACATTAGTTGAACCAGATATTTTTTATCGTAAATAATATGATCACTGGCTCTCCAGTAATTATCAAAACATTAGTTGAACCAGAGTTCATCAGACAGAAGGAAGGATGTACCTACGTAAGTGGTTGCACTATTGGTAGAAGGAAGCTGATTCAGCATTTGGACAAGCTAATTATACTGTTCATTGGGGCAGGTAGGACATTGCTCGGAGGTGTATTTGAGATTACATGATTGATTATAGAATTTCTAGTTTTGTTATGAGTCGCAGGACACCCATGTAATTTCTAGTAATTGTCCTGAGTGTGATTCTGCTATTTGCAATAATTACAGTATAGCTTTCCCTTCCTTGATTTTGAATTGTTGCCTTGTGAGTTGTGACCAGTTGACTTGCTGACTTGTTGTTAGTTGTTAAATGAGTTTAAAAGTGGGAAATAATTGAACGGACAGATCTCGTCCGCTTGTTGTACCATATAAAATGGTAGCCTTCTCATTTTCCAAAAAACCTGGCCACCCTTCTCCGTTTTTGTCTGAACGTCGGAGCTTCCTCGACTAGTGCACGATTCAATGAACACCACAAAATCACACATCCGACAATGGTCTTGAGATCCCAACTGTTGGCTTTCTTCTTGCACAGCAAGTTGGAAGAGTCGGTAGAGAGTTGGTGGCGGTGCTCTTACAAGCATTTTTGTTTGGAATGCCAGAAAATTTACGTTCAACCCATCAAAAATCTGGTGATCCGTTCCTAATCTTTGATGTGCTGAAACTGTCAAAGAGTTATCTGCGGTCCATCAAGCAATTCTTCAACCGAGTCTAGTTCGTCCAGATCGTCGACAACCGGTTAAAGTACACGGTGATTGCGAGGTTGTTCTGTTTTATCTTGGCGAGATTCTGCCGGAGATTGAAGATCTTGGCTAGCTCAAGTTTCCCATACATTTCTTTGATATTATTCCAAATTTCTTCAGCAATCTCAGTCGGTGGAAGTTCGGCGATTACATCCGGCGAAAGACAGTTGTTAATCCAAGACCGGACTAGGATATTGCAGCATTTCTAGTGTTTGTACAGTTGCGGTTCGGTCTGCGAAGGAACCATTCCGTCAAGAAAGCCGTCTCTTTCTTTTGCTATTAGTGCTTAACGAAAATCGCGAGCCCAAGTCGCGTAATTTTCTAAACTGGTGAGAGGCTGCTTGACCAGGATGAGTTCTGGTCTGTCCGAGGCTGGTGTGTAGAGCATACCACCTAGTTCTGGTTTGCCACCGGCCAGTGGAATTAGCCTAATTGCGATGGGTAAGGATTGGAACTGGCTTGACCTGAGTTCAAACCCTGAAAACTGAATGGGAAAAATTCTGACCCGGATTTGGAATTGAGCCAGATCCATTACCTTGCTTCAACACAATTTGCCCTTGATGGGCTGTATCTTGAGGATACTGATTTGGGTTTGATTTATCAAGCCCATCTGAAGAAGTTTCGGTTTTGATATTCCTGTCAAATTGATCGATTCTAAAAGATGAATTCAATCTAAAATAAATAAATAAATAAAAACTAACTCTTCCACCCGAGTACCAATGTGGTTCTGCAGGAACTTAGCAAAACTTTAGGCAAGAGTCGATGGATTAGCGGAATAACTCAATCACCCAAGATAACAATAAATGCTAAAAATAATTTAGTATACACCAGAAAAATTCTCAAGAAACCTTGGAGGGTTCACAAACAGTCTCACTTAAAACCCAACTTCCTTAGACATTTATCGTCTTGTTGATAGAATTTTTATAGACATACATATCATCGTATAAATAACTAATCACTTTTCTAAACTTAGGCTAGAAAAAGTTGGTAGAGCTTGGAGACTAGTGGAAGCTTGGTCAGAACGAATGCTCTGATACCACGAAGAAAATAGAGGCAAAAGAGAGACAACAAAGATGTCAAAGTATGTCAAGAGAAAGTGTTTTGTATATTGAATGAATTTCTTTATATTTACAGTACCTATCTATAGAAAATTGTACTAGCTGCGTATGGTAATATAATACTACAAATGATGATACAATCTTAATAATAAAGCAATGGAAATCATATCTTAGCATAATTAGGAATGAGAATAGTTCACATATTCTTATTATATGTCTAAATGATATGTGAATTAATGTTACATATTTTTTTCTCATATTCGTATGTTAACAATATTCTCTCTTTTACTTCATTAATTATTTAATATCTCTAAAACTAAACAACTAATTAAAAGTTAGAAAGATATTAAATAACAAATAGTTAGTAATATATATCTCTTTGATGACATAAAGTAATTAAAACATCACTTACAATGCATATATATTAATATCTTAAGTGGAATCATAGGGCTTTGACACAAAGACCGCATTAGTTTTGTTCACAAAGTAATCATAAATAGTTAGTTACAAGTGTATTTTTCTATGAACATTCTCTAAATACACATTTATCATATTTAAAAACAAAAAATCTCTTTAAACTCCATTTAATACCGAAAATAGTCCTACTTAATTAGGTTTAATTAGGTTTTTTTTGTTTATACCTCTTCTTTCCAATTTCAAATTTGAAACTTTTCTTCTTCAAATTTATATTCATCCCGTTGTGTGGCTATTTTCTCTATAGTTTTAATAATATATTTTCATCAAACAAAGCAATATTTGAAATAAAAAAAAAAAAATGTTTTAGTGATTTAGAAAAGTTTGAGTTTAGGTTTATGTAAGAATTAAAGGTTAAATACTAAAACACAAATATGAGATATAGTATAAATGTATTTGGAAATTATTATACCATTTTTTAATAATTTTCATCAATGTTAAAATTATTAAACAAAAAGATCATTTAAAAGTGGAAACAAATCGATGAACTCAGCATCAGAGAGGACACAAAGGCAACCCCATCGACACCCTTTCTTACATTATATTTACTCTGTGTAGATTTAGCGATGAACTCAGCTTCAGGGAGACAAGCCCATTCATTCAGTCATACATTAAAATGGGCATCCTTTTGGGCCAGATTCACAACCACAAATCTAGACCAAACCCAAACAAGCCCGGCCTAAACACATACCCATCGCATGTGTACCGTCCGTGCGTTAGGGTTTTAGGAGGTTTTACTGTCATCTCCCCCATTCTCTTTCACAACCCCTAAAACCCTAACACTTCCCTGTGCAAAATCCTTACAGTTTAGTCAAAATCACCATGAAATGACACAAGACCCGCTTCCTATTTCCATCCAAAACCCTAAATCCTAATTGACCATGAAACTCATCTCCTCAAAACCCCTTTTCTCTGTCTCCTCCTCTTCTCTGTCCCAATTCAGAATTTTCATCTCCCATTTCTCGACCTCGTCTTTTCCTCCGTATCGAAGACACGAGGAGGAGTTACGAAACGTGAGGGTTTCGGTTTGGTGGGATTTCGAGAACTGCAATTTACCTGCTGGCGTTAATGTGTTCAAGGTTACTCACACCATCACTGCAGCCATC